CTAGATTAATTCTCAGCAATGCTAGTAAAATCACGATATTAAAAAGAAAATTGGTGAAGACACAATTCCAAGAGATCTTAACAAATGAAAGTATTCTGTGCAAATATGTTACCTATACCTGAAACACCCTCAGAATGTAGATGAAAGAACAAATGCATTGGGAGAAAAAATTATTAGCAGTAGGAAAAGCATGTTTGGAAAGATTGTTTCTCTCAAAATAGAAACACATGAAGTAATATTTTAGTTCTCCATTATCATTTATTTTTGAAAAGGAGCTCATTAATAGAGTGGTTTTTAATTATTGGAAGAGAAACAAAGAATGTGAGGCATCTGAGGGAGGGATTTATGCATGAAAAGGTAGAAGGGTCACAGATGAGATTAATATTGAAGGTTTTGGAGAGTGACATTTCCTTGGAGATAAAAAGTGCCTCCTGTGTCCCCAGGTACCCTGTTTAACACAAGGTTAATATGACTTGCAATTGACAAAATAAACGGATTTTAATGCAACATCCTGGCGTTTCCAAAAAGAAAGTGATGCTGTACTAATTAGGAAAAGTTATAGTGAGTAGCACAAAATTGGCAAGAGGTAGAATATATATCTGCAGTCGTCTCCACCAAATTCAGAAATTTTCTGTCCAAATTGCAAATTCAGTTCCTAATGACTCATGTTTTCTGCAGTCTGCCTCTAGAGGGCACAAGAGAAGGCAGTAACAACAGCTTGCAGGCCAATAAAATATTTTAAATTTATTTAATATTTTAAACCTTGTAGAGGAGAAAAAAAATTGAGATAAGCAAATATTTCAATACATTATTTCCAAGAACCCACAGCTACTTTTAGGTGGATAAATCCCCCTGTGTTCATAAATCAAAGACATTTGATATTTTTTCTGCTAAAATCAATCTAACACAAAATTATCAATATTTGGACAGTCAAGAAAAGAAAGCTTAAAATGGAAAATACAAACAAAAACTTTTCAAAACAAAACAGAAATCTTGAGTTAACATGAATAAAACTGCTTTTAAATTTTATCCAAAACTTTGTTTATAGTTTTACACAAACATTTCTAAATTTATAATAACCATTCATAATCACTGGCATGTAAATAATAAACCTGCTTTTCTTTTTCAGTTATATAGCTAGAAATAAAAAAGCTTGTAACTCTTTGTTATGATTCAGAATCCAAAAGAAACTGCAAAAACACATAGACTTGTCTACTCCTTTCCCCAACTTCCCCTAACGATAACATCTCACATTCAGTCACAATACAATGGTCAAAACCAGGCCATGGACATTTGCATAACACTACCTAACTATAGGGCTTGTTCAACCTCTTTGTTTTTATATTAATGTCTTTTTTCAGTTCTAGGATGCTATAGTGCATCTCACATTGCACTGACTTATTTTCTTAAGGCTCTTCCAATTTGTAATAATTTCCCATTCGTTCTTTGTCTTTTTTGAATGAGGCACTCTTCAAATTGCAAATTTTAGGCAAAAATAGCGCAGAAGGGATTATCCATTCTATTCTGTTCGGTATGCCATATAAAGATTTTTTCATGTTTTTAATGTGGGTTATAACTGATTATGTTAAAACTTAAGTACTGGTTACGTTAGACTTCCAAGTTAGAAACTTTTTTCTTTTACACACCAAAATTTATAGTCTTTAGATTTGAGAATAGATGTTTCCATACCACAGACAAAAGCAGAATAGCCAGACTAGTCATTTAATAATATTTCTTGAGGAAAGAATGTATTAAGCTAGATGGGCTACTTAAGAGGAGGATGGTGATTTTACTTATGTATATGTCATGGTTTACATTACCCTTCTTGTTAGATCTGAAAGTACTTTTTTCTTTCTTGTTTTAACATTTTATATTTTATTTTTTTATTGAAAAGTCAGATATACAGAGAGGAGCAGAGACAGAGAGGAAGATCTTCCCTCCTCTGCTTCACTCCCTAAGTGGCCACAAGGGCTGGAGCTGCGCCAATCCAAAGCCGGAAGCCAGGAGCTGCTTCCAGGTCTCCAATGCAGGTGTAGGATCCTAAGACTTTGAACCATCCTCAACTGCTTTCCAGGCCACAAGCAGGGAGCTGGATGGGAAGCGGGGCTACCAGAATTAGAACTGGCACCTACATGGGATCCTGGCACATGCAAGTGAGGACATTAGCCACTAGGCCGCTGCACCAGGCCCTGAAAGCACTTTTTCAATATAAGCATATACGAGTACATAGCCTGAGATCATTATTACATTTGCATTATAACATTACACTCATGCTGTCTTTTTCTTTCTTCCTCTCCCAGCTTAGCTCATAACTTTCTAGAACCAATGAATGGGGAAAAGAGTTTATGTTCTTCTCCTGTGTGGCACAGACAGAGAAGACTGATCCCAGCTGGAAGGAAGAGTTTAACAGGCCGAACCAATAGTTCAGGATGATCTCCAACTGATGGTCTTAGGACCACAGCACAACCCTTAATGTTGTATAGTATATGTGTAATATCATTCCTGGACTGCCAGAAGGTCTATGAGAAGATGACCAAATCATCCTGCACACTTTGAATGCTACTGGTGCCCGCTCTGAACCCAAGAGTCATCACAGTGGAATAACTGTCTCCCATAGTTCTTACTGTCCAGTTCTGATGTGATTGCCCAGTGGAGCATTTTCTGTGCTACAGTGTACATTAGAAACACACTAGCTTTTCCTGCTGGAGTTTCACTTGACTATATCACATTCTACTTTATGGAAATTTATTTTTTGACATCCCTTTTCTTGACTCCTTCATCTAATACGGGCTTCTATTATAAGGAAATTAATATATCATACTTACATTTTTCCCCAGTGCCATTAACCATTTTGTCTGGCACTTACTGATGCTCAGTAAATGCTTTTCATGTCATATATGTGTTCTTTGGTTTTATTGAACGCAATTAGTTTGGGATGCTAGAGGAATATTCTTTTTCTTTGTAAATAGGGTAATATTTGAAACAAAAAAATGTTAATATAGTCAAATCATCCAAGGCTTCTAGAAGTACAGATGAATAAAATTTCCTCATAATCTTTTTTCCCCTTTAAGCTTAATTTTAAGGTCCCATAAAAGCATAGCAGGCTTTGTTCTACTTAAGATTCAACAGAAATTAAGAAGGGAAATGATAAAAGACAAAACTGATCTACTTTAGCTATATAGAGGTTTAATAAATATATGTCTTCTTTGTCTTATTAAATGTATTGATATGCCTCCTTAATCAGGTCAAAAGCTAGATTGGCCACCACTAAATAGCTGTAGGCACTGCTTCGCTGTTGTGCTCAGAATGATAGAAGGAACAACCACCGATATGGTCTCTACTCAGAAAAGAGGAGGTAAGACTACATGTTCAACCTGGTCCCTTAGAAGTCATTTAAGATACCTGTTTCCCACATCATAAAAATTGGATTTGGTCCTTGCTCCTGACTCTAAATTCCTGCTAATACAAAATTCCATGAAAGTATAGTGATGCCTCAATTAAATGAGTTCCAACCACTCCTGTCGGACACATGGCTAAGTCTGCAGCTCAGGCTGTATTTTACAAGGAAGGAGTGAAATAGTGGATGACAACTCGTGCTTGCTCTTGCTCCCTCCCACCTCATCTCTCTCTCTCTCTCTCTCTCTCTCTCTCTCTCTCTCTCTCTCTCTCTCATACACACACACACATAAAACACACTGTTTTATAAAAACAGAATATTGCACCATCAGAAATCACAGCAAAAACAGAGGTAGTTTAAAAGTACATTGATCCTGTAGGATCAGAAGATTTCAGAAGGCTGACTTTAACTCACATTTAATTCATACTCGTAGTTATTATTTTCAAATAAGAGATCCAGCTAGGAGAAAACTATTGCTTACATGAAAAAATAAATTGAAAATGATTTTCTAACCTGCTGATCTTCCTTCTTCCACAGTATCTTTGTTATCCATCCTGAGAAGTGCTACCTTTCCTTTAATTGAAATTGTCCTTTCTCAAATTTTCAATATAGATGTAACAGAAAGCCCATTATGTGCCAGACACTGTGCTACATCCTAAGAATGCAAAATTAGTAACAATCTAAATTCCTATGTGTTTAAAAAGTCACTATGATAATAACTTATATAAGTAAGATGAGCCAAAACTAGAGTATATTGACATAAACGGAGAAGAACTTCAAGGAAATAGATGAATAACTAGCTTTAAAAATTCTCCAATAACTAAAAACCACTAATGACATCATAAAATTTTGTAGTGAATAACAAGGGAAAAAAAGCCTTAAGTTATTTCAAGAGTCTTATATTAACAGAAGTCCACAAAGTTATTTATTTATTTGAAAGGCAAAATTACAGAGGGAGAGAAATAAAGTTAAAAGACAGAGAGAGAGAGAGAGAGAGAAGTCTTAACATACATTGGTTCACTCTCCAACTAGACGTAAGGACTAAGTAAGTCTAAATGAATAAAAATGAATAAAATAATGAACTATTTCTTAGAAAAGATAAAATGGCAAACCTATAGAAGACTAACAATTCTAGGAAAAGGAGAAAATAAACCAATTGTCTTTTTATCAGAATGAAACAGAAGCTGTCACTAGAGATTCTCATGCAATCCCAAATGTGAATGTTACAAATAACTCTGTAAATATGAATTTGGCAACTTAAACTTTTTACCACAATTCACCCAATTAGAAAAGGTCATTTTACTAGACCATGCCTATTAGGGAAACTGAACTCACAACTTTACAATATCCAAAATATTTCCAGAACTAGGTGGTTTCTTTGGAAATTTCTATTAAATAATTAAGGAAGAGGCAATACCAATGCCACAAATCTAAACACAAGATGTAACACTTGCAAATAATTTTTATGGTGTTAGTATTAACCTTACACTAAGCCAGAGAAAAACAGTAAAAAACTGCAGAACAGTATTTCTCACAAACCCTAATATAAACTTTTTAACAAGTTCCTAATAAATTAAATTCATCAATTTGTGTATAACTCGTGATCAAGTAAGGCTTATTTCAGGTTTAATAAACTTTTGGAAAACAAATCATTATCACCAACCATATTAAGAAAAATCAGATCATCATATCAATTTAAGCAAATAATTATTTGACAAAATACATCACTCATTCATAATAAAGCTTCTCAGAAAGATATTATTGAGGAAATGTCCATTTCCTCAATTTGGTAAAGACAACCTATTAAAAAATATATCCAAATTTTATAAAGTATAGCTAACACTATTCTGAAAGATATATTTAACTGAATGTGTTATAGAGATAAGTAGAGGCAGAAAGAAAGATACTCCATGCATGGGGTCACTCCTCCAAGATGTTCACAATGAGTAGGGGTGAGCCAGACCAAAGCAAGGAGTTCCATCCAGGGCTCCCACATGGATGATAGGGTCCCAAAACCTTAGATCATCTTCTACTGCTTTCCGAGGGCATTATCAAGAAATGGGGTTAGAAGTGGAGCATCCAGAATAATGACCAGCACCCCTTTAGGATGAAGAGATTACAGGCAGCAGTTTTACCGCCAGTCCTGCTAACATTTTAGCAATGAAATACTGAATGCTTTCCCCCTAATAGAAGCAAGGCAAGGATGTTTACTCTCATCACTCTTAGTCAACACACATTACAAGTTATATCCAGCACAACAAAGCAAGAATAAGAAATCATGATCCAGTTGTGTAAGGAGGAAATAAAATTGTTTCTATTTTAAGATATCACGATTGGCTACACTGAAAAATCCCAAAGATAATACAAAATATTCCTAGAATGGATAATGAATTTAGTGAAATCATAGCATGCAAAATAATATAACACAAAAGTATAACTAAAAATAAAAATGAAAAGCCTACTATTATTCAGGAGTAAAGATACAAGTTATATGGCAGTTAAATCCCAGTATGTTAATCTCCCTTATAGAATTTATATTTTGTTTGTGTTTTGTGTATTAGATGTCACAGATTAAAAAGAGCATATTTGACTCTTTTGGGACTAGCAACTTTCTTTTTTTTAGGATTTATTTATTTTTATTGGAAAGTCAGATTTACAGAGAGAAGGAGAAACAGAGAGAAAGCTCTTCTATCTGCTGGTTCACTCCCCAAGTAGCCGCAATGGCCAGAGTTGAGCCAATCTGAAGCCAGGATCCAGGAGCTTCTTCTGGGTCACCCCTGTGGGTGCAAAGTCCCAAGGCTTTGGGCTGTCCTCTACTGCTTTCCCAGGCCACAAGCATGGAGCTGGAAAGAAAGTGGAGCAGCCAGGACACAAACTGACACCCAAATTTGATCCTGGCTCACACAAGGCGATGAATTTGGCCACTAGGCTACCGTGCTGGGTCCAGGAGTAGCAACTTTCACCAAGCATCATGGTTTCCAGCTGGGTCTATTTTGTGGTAAATGGTAAGATTTCATTCTTTCTAATGGCTGAATTAGAAACAGGTCTTGTTTCTTATTTCTGCAAGTGTATATTCAAATTTCCTGGTACCATTTGTTGAAAAGACTGTTCTTTCTCCCTGGATTGATTCAAACTCACTTGTCAAAAATTAGTAGACTATAGATATTTGAGCTCACTTCTGGCCTTTCTATTCTGTCCCATTGATATTCCTGTCTGCTTTTATGCCTGTACCAGGATGTTTACATTACCACTGCCCGGCTCTAACCTTTAAGTCTGGTATTGGGATGCTTCCAGGTTTGGTGTGGTTTTTGTTTTTGTTTTGCTTTATTTTTATTTTTTTTTATTGTTTACAGCTGGTTTTAGTAATTCAGTCTAGTTTGTTTTTCATATGAATTTCAGCATCATTTTCTTGCAGATGTGAAAAGAATGCTGCTGGTATTATGATTGGAATCACATCAAATCCATAATTACTTTTCATAATATGAACACTTTGATTATACAATTCTACCAATCCATAAATGTGTCAGATTTTCTGTGTTCTGCTGTCTTATTTTATTTCTTTTTTTAATGTTTCATAGTTTTCATGTTAGAGAGCCCTCACAGCCTTGGTTAAGTTTCCAAGATACTTAATTTCCCTTGCCACTATTATGACTGGACTAGTCTTACAAGTTCTTTTTCAGCCATGGAATTATTTGTGTATACTAAATCCACTGATTTATGTGTGTTGGTTCCATATCCTGAAGCCCTGATAAACTCTCTTATGAGTTCCAATAGTGTCTTAGTTGGATCTTTTGGTTCCTCTAAATGAAGAATCATGCTAACAAGGATAATTTGGCTTTCTCCTTTCCAATTTGTATTCCTTTGATTTCATTTTCTTGATGTATTGTTCTGGTTAGGATTTCCACTACTATACTGAATAGAAGCAGTGAGAGTGGATAACATTTTCTGGTTTCCAATCTTAGTAGAAATGCCTCCAGCTTTCCCCCATTCAATATGATGCTTGGCATTAGGTTTTGCACATATTGTCTTGATTGTGCTGAGGAATGATTCATGCTTATGCATTTTTTTTCTAAGCACTTTGTATGTATTAAAGCACTCATTCTTTACAGCATGAAGGATGCTATTGATATCCTTAATAACAACTAAGATTAATTTACCTAAGGACACTGATCTGTTTAGTGGTAGAACTAGGATGAAAACTTGAAAGATCAGGGTAGTTGCCTGAGCTCTTCCTACATTATATGTTGTGTTTGCAATAAAACTAAATTAAGGGAATGGTCAATCAATGAAATTATCCAAATAGGAATGTGATCAGTGACATTTCTGGCAGCTTGTTTATGAATATCAAGTAAAATATTTTCAAAAGGCCTTTTCAAAATGACTAGCAAATATACCATTTTCAACACAATTTAAAATAATAATGTATTGATATAAAATACAAAGACACAGTGTTGGCACAGACATAGGCATGGGCATATGGATGGTATATCTCTTCACAAAGCAAAGCTGATAGTTGGGACTACCATGGATTACTACCTGTCTTCGTTTGAACTCTTATAAAACTCTTGGATTAATCAACATTTGCTCTGTTTTTGTCCCTGTATGTGCCAAATCTACTCTGGAATACTCACTTTCAGAAAATGCGTACTCAACACATCTTAAGACTAGATCAATAACTATTTCCAAAATGATTCCTTATCTCTATTTTAATCAATGGCACAGAAAACCCAGTTGTGGAAGCCATAGCCCTCTGTTATTTTTCCTATTCTCCTTCTCTTACTCCAGTAAATTATAAATCTTTCTGATTTCACAACATAAGTACTTCTTAAATTGTCACATATTGCCATCTGCATTGTCTCTGCTGTAGTTTGGGCACTTCTCAGTCTGAGTCAGCACATTGGTTACAAAAGTCTCTTTGAGCTCTTCCTCATATGATGTGCATGTCCTCAAACTTATCTATAACAAAGCTACAATTGCATTAATTTTATGCTACCTTCTGATATTCTACTAGTTATCTACTAGATAACTTCTTGATTTATTCTCCAAGGATGCCCATTATAGGCCTTAATATATCCAGAACACTTAAACTTGATGTCCCAGCAAAAACAAATTGTTCACAGCTACCTATTGACCCTTAGGCACAACCCTCCTCTGGCCTACATTTCACAAAATTGCATTCAATCAAGGGATATTTTAGACTTCTCTGAGTGTCATAGACTTTTTGAAAAGTACTATTCACAGAACCCAAGTCTGTCTGACAGATTAATAATGATACCAAAAAACAAGAAAAGATGACAAGCTACCAATTACTGAACCTATCATATCAAAGATTCTATATAGAGTATTACCATGCTTTTCAATCTAATTTTAAAAGGAATCTGCAAATTGGCTTTATTAATTTCCCCCTCACACAAATAAGGGACTAAAGAGCAGAGTTGTATGTCCCACCCATGTTCACAAGGCTAGACAGTGACATAGCCAAGATATAAGTATTCGTTTATTGATAAAATCTTTACCTTTAACCACTTCCAAATACATATTATTATAATGCTATCTTTGATTTTCAAACGCAGGATGCTAAAGAAGGGAGCACAAGCAAAATATTTTTTTCATAATTTAAGCATGAAAGATTTTATGCTGTATGACAGATATATGTATGTATATATGTACCTTCATACATATGCATTTCAATGGTATTCCTTTCTTTTATTCTCTGGATATTTATTAATTGATCAGTACTTAAGGGCTCTCCCAATTTCAGAATCTTTGCTGAAAGATGATTTAGATATGCTCACTTCTTTTGAGCACATAATTCTTCGGGTTTTTTTAAAATCGAAAATTTTTACTTCTCTAAAAATATCAGAGAGAGCTTATAGAAAGGGCCTAGAAAATATTCAGTGCCAGACTTTTATATACCCATGTAAATCCTGAACATATAATGATGATGCTGATGGAAGTAAGATTGAATTATTATTATGATTCACATATTACATAGAACCTTTGGTTACTATTATTATCTTCATTTTCCAATGGAGAAAAAACTGAGGCACGGGCAGAAATAATTGCCTCAGGTCAGAGAGAGCCCAAATAACTGAGTGTATCAGGCCCAAATAACTGAGTGTATCAGGCCCAAATAACCATGATAAACTGTCATAAACTCAAATGATTACAAGGGAGTTGTTAGATAACTAATTTTGATGTGTGCATATGTGTGCATGACACTAGGGAGTAGTGGATTACGGATATTATCATGTGGACTACAGAATGTAGTTGTCCCGGGGCTATTTGCTCATTTTTCCCCTTTGAAAAATGTAGCCTGCTGTCTTGATATTGAAGTACTTCAAAATGTTTCTGTAAAAAAGGAATTAGAGAATAGCTTATTTTTGTGAACAAAATCCTCAGCAAAAAAGTAAGCTAAGCAAATCCAACAGCATGTCACAAATTTCACTCACCAAGACCAGGTGTGATTTATCCCTGATGTGGTTCAACATACACCAATCAACAAATGTGACCCACCACATCAACAAGCTAAAGAATAAAAACCACATGATTATTTCAATCATACAGAGCAAGCACTCAATAAAATTCAAAATCTGTGGGAAACCAAAATGGAATTTCTGGCTTCTGGTTTCAGCCTAGCCCCATCATAGCTGTTGTAGTCATTTGGGAACTAAATCGGTGGATATCTTGGATATATCTGTACCTTTTTATTGTTCTTCTCTATCTATTTCTCTCCTCTCTCGTTCTTCCTGTCACTCTGCTTTTTTGAATAAATATTTTTTAAAAGCAAAAATGTTCAGTCACATGATTATAAACAGATTTGAGGACTTGAAAAAAATGAGTGGAAAACTGTTGATAAATAAATTTGGGGGAAATGTGCAGACATATTTCTCTGAATTAGAAATAAAATGAAGACATTACAACCCATACGAATGCTCAAAACTGTTATCTTCATTGGAGAAAGATACTTATCCAACAGATACGGAGGTCCATCTGCAGATAGCAATTGTCCTCTCTGCTTCTTGACATCCTCTCCTGTTATGAAACAATATTCTCATGTGCAATGTAACTGTGACAGCATGCATGGTGGCTGCCTGTGAACTCAGTGACTCAGACTTTGACTCACCAGTGATGGTCAGGTTCTAGCCACAGATTTTTTAGTAGTAGAGAACAACACTTAAATATTTCACAGAATGCTCAGCCAGATTCCAATGAAGCACAACAGATCCATGCTCACTGAATTCACTGTTCTTACTATGTTCCCCATTATACTGAAGCAGCTGGATTGATATAATCATCTTTTGTAGACTGAGTTACATAAATCAGCTGGGTGAGTAATATCTTGAAGGTCTGGGGCAAGATTCTCCAGAATTCTGTATGTATTCTGAACCAGCATCCTATATGGAATAGTCTCTGAGAGCCAGAATGCGTGGGTCCAGAATCAAGAGAGGAAATAGAAGCAGCATGGGTCACAACATTTGGAGACTCACTAGAAGAATCTGTGCTACTTGTCCCAGCAATTTTATTTTCTGTTGGCCTTGATGTCTTGGTTTCTAAAAGAAGTATCTACTACCAGGAGACAGCAGTGATTACATTGAACAAGAAGTTAAGATTACCATATTAAAACTCCCCATACCTGAACATATCAAACAAGGATAAAAAAAATAATTAGTGGGGCTAACAGAGGTGATTGATCCTGACTACAAAGAGAATGTTAGATTACTATCCCACAGCGGAGGTAAATGAGAATGTAGGAGGAGCTCATATAGGAGCGCTCTTAAGTCATATCGTAATATTGTGCCCTTTTATTAGTTAAGGCTAATGCAAAACTACGACACAATCTAAACAGGAGCACTACGGACCCAAACTTTTAAATAATGAAAGTTTAAATTACCCCTCTAGACAAATATTCATGTTTAGCTGAGGTATCTGTTAGAAGCAAAGAAAATAAAAAATGGGGAAAAGAAGGTATTAAAAAATACCAGCTATGATCATATAAAATGACATAAAATGAGATGTGTAACTTCCACAAGTATTTCCTCTTTAGTGTGTTATGAAGTGTATATGTACATAAACATATATCAATCAAAGACTTATTTTCTTGATTATCTTATTCATTTATTAAGTAATGTAACATTATTCTAACGCAACATTTAGCTCAAGGGATGTTATAACTTCTTCACTCCTTCTAGGAAAAGAATTAGTGTGTCATTTGTGTTACACAAAATAAATTTGTATCATATTGATAAAATAATGACCTTGTTATTATCTATATTTAGAAATTCAACATCATTTAAGATGTACATGGGTGCGAAGGAGACAGGGTGGACCTCTGGTGGTTATTTTTATGTGTTCTTTTGGCTGTGCCAGGTGTTATTTTGCCTCAGTTAGCTGTTACACAATTTTTCTGGGTAAATTTTCATGGGTGTTTCTGGACGAGGATTAGCATTTGAATGGGCAGGCTGGGTAAGGAAAATTACCCTTATCAACATGTCATCATTCAAAACAAAAATGTGGCGGGAGGGTGAATTTGCTGCTTTTATTTTAACTAGGATTTCACTTTCTACCCTCACAAATCATCGCTTTTCATTCTTGACCTTTCAGCCTTGGACCAGAACAGATCAACCACTCGTTCTCAGGCCTCAGTTCATACAGAATTGTATTACACCAGTTTTCAGGTCATTCAGCTTGCAGATGGGAGACAAGAAGACTTTTAACTTCTATAATTACATGAGCCAATTTATATGTTTCTATTACATATGTGTGTCTATATATATGTATATACTTATATATGTCAAGATACATATATGTCAAAAAATCACAGAAAAAAAGTTAAAATATAAGCTTATATGGGTACAAGAAAATCCAAATATTGAATGATTTTTATAATATACATTTCTGTGAACTTCATGTTTGTTTATATATAAAATTTATAGAGATGTATTTTATACACATTCACACAAGTCTTCCATTGTTATTCTTCCTCCTCCATTTATATTCAGGAATTATGTGCCCTCAATAAAAAGCACACAAACACATACATGAAAAATATGATGAAGAACAGAAAATTAGAAGTCTATGAAGAAAACAAACTTCCTCATCACAGGTGAATGGTTATACTTCTAACTGCAGGAAACAACCATGTGACATACAGAAGTGGCACCTTAAATTATGATCACTACCTAAATTAAGTTGTCCTGACTTCTAACAACTAGATTTGAGAGAGAAAAACCAACATATTATCTGCCTTTAAGAAAAATGCAAATGGTATTTATTAAAAAAAGAAAAAGCAGACAGAGTAGCAATCATTTTTAATTTAATTACTGTTTTCATCGTTGAGGACTTACTGCAGCACAATGAATTAACTCAATTTTATTGTGGAACAAAATTTCTATTTATATTGAGTATTGCACTAAAAACATTTACACATCATTGAAAACTCAAATAAAAGAAAAGATGTTGGGTATTTACTACTCAATAAAACTGTTCATAAGAGAAGTTTTATATGGACTTTATTCATTCAAGTAGTTACTAAATGCAGGTATGTATTTTTCTATTTAGCTAGTTAGTTTTACTCATTTAAAAGGAAAAGAGACAGAAAGGGACAGTGAGAAAGCAGAAATTCTCATCCATTGGTTGACTCATCAAATGCATGTAACAAGGATGCTCAACGGTGGGGGGATTGGGGGGAGGACCCCAGAGTGGAAATGGAGGACAGGAGGAGGCTTGTATCCTAACCCTGGAGGCTCCCGGATCCTCACCAAGGACTATCAGTATGGGCACCAAGGCCTATATCCCAACTGACAAGGAGACCATAGGGAATTGGAATGCCCTTGTACGTCGAGAACTCTGAGGTCAACCCATTCCCTATTGAATCTTCCACACAGGATGGAAGCCCAGGTCCTTCCTCACAGGATCTAATGTCTTTGGAACAACAACCAGGCACCCCAAGCGGT